TCCACACTCTAAGTTCAAAATTCTTGACCTTTAATTTAACTTCTAGATTTTTCTCAGAGGTTTACTTAGGTTTATTTTTCTCAGAGGAGTTGAAAGCCAAAAAATACTGCCCTAAACACTTTATGTATATCCACAGGTATTAATTCATTCAATCCTAATATAATATTATCCTCATTTTACATATGAGAAAACTATAACACACAAAACTAAATGACTCACCAATGGCCAATTAGCTAGAAGGTGATGGAGGCAGGATTATGAGACATTAATAACCACTAAGCTAACTGGCAGATGGTCAAACACCACTAACAGCCTTTAGCTTGTGCCTCCCCAAAGTCATGCCAAAATTAAATCTAAATAAGAATCAATGCAAGTAAGACATTTGCAAAACTTAGCTGTGAGAACATCCCATTTCTAACCAAACTGTCAACCTTAAGTTTCTCTGCACAGAAATTTAGAAACCAAACTCACCCCACCACTAACACTAAACCTAAGTTCACTTTGTTTTCTTTTCTTTTTCTTTTTTTTTTTTTTTTTAAGATTTATTTAGTTATTTATACAAGCACTGGGTATAGTCAGAAGCAAGGAAGGGTAAGAGAATTCACCAGAGCTACAGCGGGGAGCTGAACAGGCAGACTGACAAAGAAGTACACTGCTGAGGGGAGCAGCGGGTGCTGCAGGAGAGGTCTGTGCGCCAAGTGGGAGCCTTGCCCAGCAGCCAGGGATGGAACATGCACTGCAGAGGCTGCGGGCAGCTTCGCAGCCCAGCGCTCAACTGCTGTGCCACTGGGGAGGCCCTAAGTTTACTTTCTTTGTAAGTCTGAATCCAGACTTAGGCCCACTGTTATATTTCAGAAGGTGAATGATAATCATTTGATTTTGATTTATCTTCTTGAGTGATGCAAGTGTTTCCTTCAATTCTGTATGCCTAACAAATAGCACCCATGTCTGGGACACACTTGCAGAAAATTGTGAAAAACTTTGCCTCTAATATTATATGCTATCCAAATGAAAAAGTACCTTTCAAATTTGTGGGGGAAATGGGAATACTTTTTTTTTTTTAACTCCACCAATACAAAAGTCAAACTAAGAAATTAAAATGCAGAGTAAAACTGTAAGAAAAGAGGTTGACCCAATCCCCACCTCACACTTTTTCCATTATCTTTTTTAAAGTGATTGCAGTCATTAATTTTAATATTTCTTCTGAAAGTGACTCCCTCTGCTGCTCCAGCAAACCTATGACCTAAATCAGAAACTGCTAAATGCAGTTAAGATTTAATAGAGCACACTCTTTCTATTTGCACTAATTGGAAAACCTAGTGTACATTAGAGAACAGTTATTTTTAAGTCTCAACAATAATTCTAAATAAGCTAAGAGGATTTTGCCTAATATAACTTATGCCTCTTTCATGCCTTTAAGCAGTTTGCTTTAAAAAGACCAGTATGAATTCTGATTAGGACAACCAGCTAGCTCCCAGACTACAATGGGAGATGCTCCAGGATCTGATATTTTAAACTCTGAATCACCAGTAATCAGAACACAGAAGACCAGGGAGTCAATAAATGTTAACAACCTAATGGTTCCTTATTCATTACAAGTACTTGAAAAGTTCATTTTCTGAAGCCTTGTATGCATTCCCTAAACTAGACAATATGAAATTACTTTTCTATACAAAGGTAAGCTAGCATACTTTACCTTACTGAAAATTTCAAATGTGAACTCATGGATTTACTCTGCTCCTAAAATGGAGAAATATATGGCACATTTGTATGGAAATTCAGCTATCTTTTTTTCTTGCCAGTTGACTATTTCTACCACAACAACATGCATAAATGCATGGAAGTAAATTTTACCCTTTAGTAGAAAGAAGTATTTTATTTATATTAAAAAGGCATTATAAATTAAATTGTCATAAAAGAAATTATCCCAATATGACTGGAGTCTAGTAATTTTCTGAGTTTGGTGACATAACACTAGTTGGTGCTAGAAAAATAGCATATCAGTGCAGTGTAGCCCAGAATTAAAAATGCATTCATAAAAGAAGATGTCACTGATACTGAGGCACAGTAATCAAATGAACACATACAAACATAGCACGCACACATACACACACACACATACACAAATATCCACACATAGGCTCCCTTCTCCTAGTAAAATCTTTCATTCTTGGAAGTCAGAAATACCACAAATTCCCTGGAGTTAGGAGTTCCCAGCATCCTGAATGAAACAATTAGAGCATAACCAGGAAAGAGAAAGTTGTCTAAAGCCTAGAGAAATTCCCAAGGACCTGTTTAGTAACTGCTCTCTTTAGGCCAGTTACAAAAGGCAGTGTACTCACAAATAATAGCCATTATGTTATTTTATTTAAACATCTATCGTGTTCTTGTCTATCTCTGAAGAGATACAATTTTTGTAACTTCTTAATTTTGTTTAGTACTTTTCTAACAATGAAATAAAACCTTACCCACATGGCAAAGTGCTTAAATCACTTTCTCATCTAATTGTATATGAGTTCCATTCATAAAATAGTTTGTTCCCTTCCTTAAGTCCTCTGTAAATGGAAATCATACCATGAGGGAGCAGTAGCATCTTTTATTACTCTAGACCACGAGAGAAGAGAAAGGAAAAGAAATTATAAGGGAAAAGAGGTGTGTCAGCACTTTATACAAGTGATTGAGAAGACAGTGTAATAGAGGTTCCACAGTAAACAGGCTGGGAGAGTAGATTAGAGTGATGGTGACAGTAGTTGATAGTAAGTAGACTTCAGTGTTTTCTAGGTTTTTGATACCTAATAGACAACACAGGAAAAACTAGTATGTAGACAACACATGGAGAATAACAAAGGTGAAAGCAGAGAACTAGTGTCTCTCAAGGACCTTAAGACTCAAACATAAACTGGAACTCTGTTATTCAGCAGGAACAAAAATAACTAAATAAGTTAAACGGGGGATAGTGCTTAAAAGCACACACCCGTCCGAAGACATTTCTCCACTTAAGATCAGAAGAACAAGTTCAATCCTCAATCTTTGTCTGATCTATGAGAAGAAAAAAGTACAATTGCAAAATGTTCAGTCTATCTGGAGTGTTCTTTCTTTTAATTCCCCTTTCCTTTTCCTCTCAATATTAATTCATTTACAATCTCCTGTTTGATTATCTTTATCGATCCTTTTTCCTACGGAGAGTTTTTAACTGGGCTGTCATAAGCTCTAGGTGGAGTCCTCTATCTCCCGTTTGGAATCTTTGAGGACTTTAAGTTTTCCTTTTTTCAAACACTTCACCTGGTGCTCCCCCACACCAGACCCACCCAGGGGTCCAGTCCTTTGTGTGCCCAATAACAGCAGGCGAATTCCACGGAGTCACACGACTGATAACACCACTATTCATCAGGTTGCACAGTTCTACTTCTAAGAACCCTCCTCTAAACACTATGAGTGAGCTACTACCCTGGGAAGTTGTACCGATTTCAAGAAATCTAAAAGACCCCGTGATTCTGAATGGCTATCCTTTTGTAAATGGATAGACGAGCTCTGAGCTCTGGAAGTAGGCATAAGAACACCAAGGCAAAAGCTTGCGGACGGGCGGCATCTGGCAAGAGAGGAAGGCAGGATTTATGAGCAAGGCTTCTCAGCCTGGCAGCAGGAAAATTCACTCCCTAAGTAGCTATCCCTAATTCACAAAGCCTGGCTAACCGCTTACCTCCGCACCCAGACTACACTCGCCCACGCTTAGGCCCCGCTTTCACCTCCACGGACCTACACCCCCCGCCCACCCCCAACCTCAGTGCCTTCGCGCCTCACTAGAGGTAACCTCCACAGTCTGAGCGTCACCCCGGGAGTCGAGGCTCTCGCCACACCTACTTTGCTCTCCAAATTGGAAAGAAATGTAACCAAGACGATGGAATCCCTCAATCATCTCTGAATGCTGCGAAAGCTTCCTCCACCCCCACCTCAGGGAAAAGCTGAGCTGCCGCCCCTGAGTCTGGGACCACCACACCTGGGCGAAAAGACCCAGGTGGGCGCTTCTCTAGGCCAAAAGGTTGGGGCTCAGGTGACCCGAAAAAGACCGAGGAGGAGACGACCGCGTAGGCTGTCTCGGCTCCTTCACACTCCTCTGCCCGCCCTGCAAAGGCTGCGAGCTGCCGGTACCGCTTCAAACTCCGGGACTGGGAGGCGCCTCGGAGGTCAGCCCCACGTCTCCCCTCCTTCATCACCTATCCTCAACTCCTGGCTGATCTCCCCCCAGTGCCAATTTGGTCCAGCTGTTTACAGCTCAAATGCATTAAATTAAAAAGTCAAAGTTATACAATGATGGGCTACTCAAGGGAGTTTCGGGTTTGGTTTGAACGACCGGTCCGTTTCCCCAGAGCGCTGGGATTTTAAGTTTCTCTGCCGCCGGCGGGACTAGGCAGAGGGTGTGCGTGCGGCACACCCAAGAGTCTGCAGAAGGCTGGGTCGCGGGCTGCGCGAGCTCTGCGTGTCCACAGAGCCCAGAGCAGCAGCCGTGGAGCACACGCACGGGTGGATCCTTGGCCATAATGGACACATTTCTTCAACTGGGCGCCCTTTAGCGACTGGCAAGCTCAGTCGCTGAAGATCCCGCAACCCCAGACGTGGCGCAAGGCTGGCAGTCTCCGCACCTCGGGAGACATCCATGACAAGCCACCCAGCTACCCGCACGGAGAGTTTCTTCAAACCTCTGTGTGTACAATATGCAACAATGTGTGCGTGTGGAGCAGAAAGTGCAAAAGGCACTCAAGGCGCCCACACGCCCAGAGACAGATGCGTGTCCACACCCCGAGAGTCCCTCTGTGCTCATCTTAAAAGATAAATTAAAAATGTTAACCAAAGATGTCTGAATAGTTGGGAAAGTGGAATTTAAAGTGATTTCCGATGGAGAGCCACGGGCGAGATTAAGGCAGCCAGAAGCGGAGAGGAAGCCAACAGCTAGGAGGAAAGGAAGAAGCGGAGGTGGCCGCCAGGCTCGGCGGACCCCTTACCTTGAGCAGCTGAGCCGGTGCCGCTGGCGCTGAGCAAGGCCAGGGCAGGTAGCACGAACATTTGCAGCGCGTATCCCAGCCCCAATCCGCAGCGGGCCGCTGTGGACCGCAAACCTTTCCCCATCGTCGACGGCGGTGTGCCGGGATGGGGGGTCACACACCGAGACGCGCAGACCGCGGAAAGCCCCGCTGGGCAGCAGCTGAATCCGTGCACCGCGTAGCAGTTCGAAGAAATAATGACACCCGAGCGCCACACTTCAATTTCTCCCAGGGCAAGGGACAAAATGGGGTGGAGAGGAAACGGCTGAAGAGTTCGGAAGTCCCTCTTCCCCTGCGCCTCCTAACCCGCGGCTGCAGAAACGGCCGCTCTGCCCCTACTTGGGAAGTGGAGAAGGCGCCGGGCGGCCACCTCGCCGCTCCCCTCCAGCAGCAGGAGCGAGCGCAGCTCCGCCGCGCGCCGAGCCCGGACTAGTCTACGGGTCCCCTACCCGGTGCCGCACACTCACTGGCACCAGGGGGCGGAGGGGGAACTGGCGGGGGGCTGGGGGGTGGAGTAGCGGGAGCGGGAGGGAGCAAGGGAGGGAGCTGGGCACTGCGAGGCGCTCTCGTCTCCAATCTGAGTGTTCTCTCGCCGGTGGAGAGACGTCCTGGCTACCGTTGCAGTATGGCCAAGGAGGGTCACCTCCTAATGTGGGGCACACGGGTGCGTGGAGACGCTCGCAGAGGAGGCGTGGAGAGCGCAGCCCGACTCCCCTGGGTGGTAAGCAGTGGCGGGAGCGCGCCCGCCCTAGTTATGTAAGCTAGGATTGGAGGGAAATGCGCGCCGAGCACGGGAGGTGGAGACCGACAGTTGGTTCTGCGCGGAAAGCCGGGAGAGACAGACCTGAGGGTAGGAGGCGGCTGCAGAGAGTGGGAGCTCGCTGGCCTCCCGCGGTGCGCCAGACCCGGGCTCAGAGAGCTTAACGGGCGCGCGCCGAGCCTTTTGGCGGCGCCCAGTGGAGCTCAGCCTGCCGCCTGCCAGATTCTCCACGGCGCTGGCAAAGCCTGAGCCAGACTCCCCTGGACTGGACTCACTCTACGACTTCGGGTCTTGTGATTGATGAAGCGGGGAGTGTGAGCTGGAGCTCAAGTTTTGCGTGTGGGGAAGAAGGCATGAAGCTTTCGCAGAGACCCAACCCGCTGCAACCTTGGCTTGTCAGCGCTACTGAGGCTACTTTAGGCTCTGGGCACCTGGAACCTTTCTGTAGTGGAGCAGGAAGCCAAGCTCAAGGAAGACCCATTCTGCAGCAGCTCTTTATTTGGGTGCATCTTGGTGACTGGCAAGGTTGAGAATGTAAAAGGTCTCCGAGAAAAAAATGTACAACTGATTTGTATATTCTCACTTAAGTGATGGTGAAAGCTATGGCATGTATTCCACATTCCTAATGGTGTGTGTAAGGATTCAAACTGTTGGATTTTTTATCTTTCTTCTGGGAAGAATAGCTTGGTTGTGGATCCGTTTTGTACTGATAAAGGAATGTAAGAATAGAAGAATAAAATAAGGAAAACCTAGACAAAAGGAAAGTGGATAAATTCACGGTTCAGTACACACAGATACAGCCAACATTCTGGGAAGAAGAAAACCGCTTCCGAAGATTAGTACATTTCAGAACTAATAAATTATATATCAGGGAAATGTTAAATTATTGGTACTAAGGGGCAATGTGTAAACACACACATAGGCATGAGGCCTGAGGTCCAATATTGGTGATGGTCATAACTCACTGTTCACCTGGACAGGTCAGGTAAACTGCATGTCTCAGTTTATTTGTGAAATATATTATTGGATCGTTTCAAAGTTCTTTTCAATTCTAGCATTCCATGATTCTGCCTGACAAGCTCCATCTAAACCTCTAGGCAGTGAGAGATGTCTTGATATGTCTGATAGTTCTGATAAGGTCATACTTAGCAAAGACATTGACAAATCTGGCCATTTCTCATTTCTACGGAGCCTCTGCCTGCCATGCTAAAAATCTCTTCTTCACCATCTTCAGCTTTCCCATACCAAAGCATCTTGATATTTTGTTAAAAGGGAGTTTTTGGTACCAGGCTATCTGCATTCAATTCTTAGCATTTTTTCATAGTATTAGGTGACAAAACACTGAAAAATAAAAGCCAGGTGTTTTAGTTTTCTAATCTATAAGACAGGTCTAGTAGCAAAGGCTACCTTATAGGGTCTTATGAGGAATATATTAGTCAAAAATATGTGAAATGCCTGGCAGAAAAAAATCACAACTGTTATTTTTGCCATTGATGAGAGACTGAATGCTGAATGCTGTGTAGACCAGAACAGAACTTTTTGTAATGAGGAACATGTTCATTTCATATCTATGCTCTCCAGACTGGTGGTTATTAGACACATATAGCTACTGAGCATTTGCAATGTGGCCAATGGGAAATGGGAATTTTTATTTTTATTTAATTAATTTTAAATTTAAAAGCCACAAATCTAGTGTTCACCATATTAGATAGTGCATTTAGGCTACTTGTAACCTGTCATTTGAGAATGACATCTCAAGGGGTTATGACTATATTTATAATTGTTTTTATATTTTTTCCAAAATAGACAGTAGTTTAACTACTAAGAAACTCTCACATATACTCATTATCTTAACAACAGCAAAAAATCATTTGCTTATTCATTGACAATTTATTTACCTAGGCTTCAAAACAGAATGTAGCACTTTTAAGGCGGATACTTTGCCTTGTAAATTCTCAGATCCTAAAACAGAGGCTGGTATATAGTGAGTGTTCTATCAATATGTCTGATTGCCAAAAAGATTCAGTCCTCTAAGTCTAGTTAGTGAAGTAGAATTAAATAGTCACATAATCCTGTTTGGGGTATTGGGGTATTCAAAGGACAGAGACTGCATGAATTTTTTTCTTTGAAAGAAAAAAAGAGAGGACTAGAAAAGGAAAAGTATGTCAGCACTGAAATTCTGCCTAAAAGAGGGCAGGATTATGGTTTGAGAAATGATTTTTAGCGATGAGATGGAAAAGGGAGGGGTGCTTGAGCACACAACAAGGACAGGAAAAGTACTAGCCAACAGATCAGTTGTACTAAGTAGGTGAATTTTGTATAATCTTTGGCCGCAGATGGAACTTGCTTTGTATATCAACATCTTGCTTAGGTTTTTTCTTCATGAAAAAGGTAGTGCAGTGCTGCATAGATTTCTGTACGTAAGATTGTGACTGAGTTCACTTAGATCTGAACACATGTCACAGCTTAGAGTATATTCTCTGGCCAACTGAACTAACATAGCATTTACCCCTTCACACTATATTACATTCACCTGCTTTAATCTTACATATAGAACTTATTATTATATAAACACATACATGCACATATATACATGTACACATACACATATAGTTATATAAGGCTGTATATATACATGTAAATGTATGTGTAGACACATACATGTATGTGTGTATATTCTCCCATAGAATGTGTATTTCTCAAGAGGAGGAAATTTTTTCCTAGTGTTTTCACTGTTTTATCCCAGAACATAGAAAATGTTGTGGTACATAGTAGGTTATCATTAAATTTTTATTAATATTGAATAGAAAAATGAGAGCCAATGGATTTTAAAACTGAGCTAAGTCCTTGATTAAAACTTTTTTTTTTTCCCTCCCAATTGATGGAGAAATTGGGAAAAAAGATTTTCTAGTTGTTGCATAAAATTAAGTTTAGGCAATTATTCACCAAAAATTAATATAAATATGGTTTTTCAGGGTTGGAATACTACAAGTGTTGAAGGAATGCATATGAAATTTATCTCACTTTGAAAAATAAAAGCTTCATTTAAATCCATGTACAAGGGTTTCCTTTTTCTTGGCTGCAGTGAGTGGAGAATTAACTCTAGGGTAATAAATCCCAGTGACAGGTGCTAATGGGAATTAAACATGCAAATCCCCTGTATGTCCCTCCAGAAACCTACACTAAGAAAAGTGTGCTATTTAGCATGTAGTCTGCTTAGTTATAATATTATTTACTCTAATCTAAGGTGGAAAATCTTTCCAGATTTAGGCTTAAAAAATGAGACCACACACACACAAAAAGAACATGTATTTAAAAAATTGAAATATTTTCTTCCATTTTATTTTTCTCATGTTTGATTCCCTATTTTTTGCATTTTTATTTGTTTTTATAATATCACAATATCAAAGCTATTAAGTGACAACATAATAGGAGAATTTTAGTGAATATAAATAAGATGGCAATGAAGAAATTCCTTTCCTATTTATAAACTGAGGGTTCATAGACCTGAGGTAAAATTACTGATAGATATCAACTAAGGAGAGGCAGATGGTCCAGATTCAGTTCATTCAATTCCCCTTCTCGGCCTCAACCCACGGAAGAGAATTTGGTCTGCCATAAACCTGTACACTCTGAGGCTTTATGCTTTATGTTAATTGTATTAGACAACACCTTTTGGTTGCAAGAAAATTAAACCAGCTTAAAAAAAAAAAAAAAAAAGGGAGAGAAAAAAGAAAAGAAAAATGGATCGTTGTATGTAACTTAAAACTCATGAATAAAAATTTCTCTATTAAAATGGTAACATATTTTTGGTCACCCAGTGTGTGGCAGGCAGTGTTGTAAGCTATTTATAGGTGTTATTCTCATTTAATACTCAATATGAAGATTAAATGAAAGTACTATCATTTCTTATGCACAAGGAAACACAGTGGTTAAATAACTTTGGTGGTCATACACCATTAACATTTACCATCACCACTCTGATATTGGTATCATTTTCTATATGTAAAAACTTAAATACCATCACTCATGGGACACGGGACCTCCCCCAACTCCAATCTCTTGGTTCTGCTCTCCTCAGTTTTGACTTTACAGATCCATGATGTCCACACAGGGAGAGTCTCACAGCTTCAGATTGATTTTTTTTTTTTTATCATTATCATTCTCAGTAAAAAGCACAATCATTTGCAAATAGCTAAAACAAATCCCAGAACTAGTCAATATGTCCCTGGTCTACTTTGGGTTACATAGCCATAAGAATCACCACAACCTAATGGTTGAAATATACTGAATGGCAAGGTCTAGACCATATACTTATTTCTGGAAACTTAGATTAAAAATGGGGGGAAGGAATTCCCTAAAAGGAAATATACCAGAAAAGAAGATCAATGCAAAAAAATATAGATTTTTGATCTAGAGTGAACAAAATAACAGATGTCTCTTCTGTGGAGTGGGAGTAGAATGAGTTCTTTTCTAGGCTTGAGTTTTAGGCCACAGCACATCACTGTACCAATGAAAAACATTGGTTAAGAAGGACTGAAGAACAGTCCCTAGTAGATTTATCATTAATTGATTGGGAAGGAGAGTTGTATAATTCAAATCAATTCTATTCAGTTCAATACAATTCAATTTAATTCAGT